AAACACTTGAAAAGTGTTATTGATATTTTCCATTATTAAAGACTAATTATTTACTCAGTGAGTCATGTTGCCTAAATTGGCCAGTTTCGTTTCTATTTTACTTTCTTCAAAAGCCAAGCCTTCAGGAAACAATGTGCTACAGTATTACATAGTTATAAACGTTCACCATGATTTCATTACATCTTGTTGTCCTGTACAAATACCTTTTTATTACTGTATTTGTTAGTGGCTTACAAAATTATAGTTTGAGACCTTTGTGATCATTTTCAATGTTTTTTTAATTAATTGAGTATTTCTAAAACCTGGAAGATACTTGTGGCAAGCTTTGACCCATACAGGGTGCAAGACCAAGAAACTTTTGATACAAATAAATTAAATGGCTACGATTTCTAACAATAAAGCCTAAATAAGTGTGATATAAAAGCATTTTGTTAGGAATTAGTTTCAGTAATAGAAATTATCCCAATCTAAAAAACAAAATTTACAACACCACACTGAACACGGTATCTGCCTCTTGTTATGCTCCATCATTAACAAGAAATAGATAATTAAGCCTCAAAACTGGACTTCAAATATTCATATTGCAATACTAAGTATACTGGACAAAATCTAGAACTACTAAAATAAATTATATTTAACCTCTCCAACTAATTTTTTGCCATTTATATTTCAATCAATATCAGTATTTTAAAGACTAATAGGCTGCAATCACTGAAATACTGATGTTAGGAAAGCAGTAAGTCACATTCTGATAAGGATTTATCATGGAAACAATAGATGCAGGGGTTTTTGAAACATTTTATTTATGTATTTCTCACATAAATCTTTCTAAACTCACATTTTTATTTTAGTTACAAATCAGCATTTTTTTCTCATAAGCTTGTTACATCTGTGTGCAATTTCTGCTTCCATTGTTCTGATATTTTCTATGCTGACTACTTTTAAAAACCTCATAATGAGAAATTAAGATACTACTATAAAAATGCAAGTGAATTCTATATTGGATAGAATGCATATAACCTGTCAGATGCTACAGTTACAAATAAAAACATTTAAGGGTCTGTTAATTACTGTTCTTTGATCAAGTAACATCTCATAATACCGTCTTTGATGTCTGCACACATATGAAAAGTAGGAGTCAAGACAGAAATGACTGCTTCGATTCAGTAAACATATTTAAATATTTACTATTCACATGGGTGATAGTTATGGTATACTAACCATACGACTAAATGTATGGTATACATCTCAGCTAAAAATGAACACCAATAATGAAACAGAACCAAAACAACAATTACATAAGAAGAAATTAATCAAATCCCACAGGCTTATGTTCTAAAAATTATTTAGAATGTTTTCTGTTCTTCTTACGTGTAGCATGAGCATAGATCTAAAAAAAAGATTTCCAATTTCAAAGATGCCTAATCTCTCTGAGCAATGTGTTAGCTGCTCAATGCACACATACCAAGAAATTTACTGTAAAGCAGATTCAAATTCTTCATCACACACATTAGTCAAAATAAAATCAACCAGAAGTTTGCCCTCAGCAACACAAGTGCCACACTAACTAGAATGATACTACAACATTTAGAAAAAAGGCGTGTTTTATCCTTTATGAAAGAAAACTGAAGTATTCTTGCTAATAAAAAACATAAAACTTATTTTGTGTGACTACAATGTAATTTCAACAGCAAGAAAAGTTCAAATCCAGGAAAAAGTATGTGCTAAGATATGTAACACTGATGTATGATCTTCCTGGCTAGTTCAAGTCTGAAGAAGATATATTAGTGCTGTCAACAGACTGTTAGAATGTCCCACAGGATGACCTGAATATACTCAAGAAATCAGTAGTTTACAGCAGAAATATAACTGTCACTTAAACCAACTTCTTTTTTTTTGAAGGATTGTTTTAAAAAATGGTGCAACTAGTAGTTATCTACGTTGCTTTTGTGTCCTGTTAATTAAGCCTCTATTCTAAATCCATACTGTTCTACTGATGATGCAGTCAAGGCACAGCAGAATGAGTTAGGTAGGAGGTTCTCTTAAATTCAGAATCTCACCTTTAAATTCAGAACTTCACAACCAACCAGGATTCTGGTTACCTAACATGTCACAGAAGTTATGATAGATAATCACTTTTACCCCCTGCAGAAACCTCTGTGTAATGACACAATAATCATTATCTTTTGAACATGCAAGGTAGTAAAGTTGGCAATGGGAAATAGTAAAGCTGACAATGGGAAATTTGGCTGTCATCAAAACATGGCCAAAAATGAGCATTACGATACCTAATGCTCTGGTTGAAAGGACAGAGTAAAGACTTCATCCCAACAAAATTTGAGGTATTTTCTGTAGCAGAATGGAAGAATGTTAGCCAAGTAAAATAATTAAGCATGTTAAGCACATAAACAAACACTGCTTAACATCTCTGTTCTACAAACTTAGTGACTATACCTATATACATTTTCTTCCTTACCAGGCTGCTTCAGTAACACTAATCATTTGCATCATCACAAACTGGTTTAAGATTAATTTACTGAAAAATTGAGGTTCATACACTGCATTTAGCTTACAATATTATACTCATTATCCTAAGTTGTCTGCTTTTGCTTCCTACCATTTCTTTTCCACTAGCATTGGCAAATATCTGGCTGAACTTGTGACAGATCATATATTGATAGATGTTCAACTGATAAATTTCTGAGAAGGTCAGACCGAACCTTCATCCACTAACAAAATAGCAATTTTCTGAATAATCATGACAAGCATATTCCTTCAAATACACTGGGAACTGGGAGAGTGCCAAAAAGTCTAAAAGGCTGAGTCAGGATCAAAATGGAAACATAGAAGAAAGACAACAGAAGGCCATAGTAAAATAATTATTTGAACCCATGTCAACCATTAAGTAACTTAGACCTGCTTCACATTTGGATCTTAATTGACATGGAGCATACTGGTTAATGTACTTCAAATGCCACTAAAAGGAGACACAGAATAAATCAACAAAAGAGATACTAACAGTTTACCCACACTGGATGTGATTAATTTTAAACATGCAAAGGAAATAAAGAATAAAGTTGAATCACCAACTGTTGATTGTCACTAGCTTCTAAAATAGTCTTACTTTTAACCTCAGAAATTTCTGGAAGTTCTTTTACGAAGTAAACAAAAATAATTTGTGTCAAATTGTCTACTTTAATTTGAAATAGATTTCAGCAAAGTTTCACACTAGGAGCTCTTAAAAAGACCCAACTACCATATTTGAAGAGGAGAAAAAATTTCACAATTAAAAGAATTGCTTTAATTATGAGAAATAAGTAATAGCAATAAATTAATAGCTTAGTTTACTCAGTGGGGAAGTTACCTGTGGTGTCCCACATGTTCAAAAAACATAGAAAGGTAAGAGGCTACTGCAGTAACAAAATTTTCTAATAATACAATGCAATTCAAGATAATAAAGGCAAAATCCAATGCCAAATATTTACACCATATCCACATGGGATACACTGTGACTATATAATAAACTGTCACACAATATCCAGGTTAGACAATCAATATAGGTGTCATACATGGAGAAAGTACACTAACATCGCAAAGACAACAAGGCCTCCTTAACCTCAGTAAATATAATGCAGATATATAATAAAAGCTTTTATGATAAAATTTAATAGCCTGACAAAATAAACTGCAAAAAACTCTTCAGAGCAACACAAGATGATGAAAGCAGAACGATGTATTCAGAAATACAGACTGAGCATTCAAAAACCACAAACAAAGCTGTGTTTAGAGCAAACAGCTTGAGACTATAAAGTTAAAAAAATCCACCAAAATCTTAAGGAAAAACCCCTAATTATTTCTAAGATTCAGAAAAAGGTCAAGAATGGATCAAGAGGTAAACGCTCCACAAGAAAGACTTAAAAGAATTTGTTTTATCATTTGTGAAACAAAATTATCATATCATTAGATTAATGGGAACTTTAAAAATCATACAAAATACAGGTTAAGAATCTTATGATAAACACTTAAGCAATCGTGAGGATAAAGTCAGAACATTAACTCTGGAATGACCTTCATGAACACATCGAGGAGATATTGCATTCTGTGACTTTTCTTTTTTACATCAGATTACTACTTATGCAATCTTTGAGGAATTAAACACCACGATTTTTTTTATATTCAGGCTCCTTTGGGCTCATAAATATAATCCTTCATTACAGATCTACCTTACCCACCCATGCTAAGTGAAGTTTTCCATTTAACAGGCATTATCACCTTCACTATTTCCCCTTCTCTGCTTAATTAAGGGAAAGAGTGCTAGTAAAATTGAAATGCTTAAGTACATCTCATTGACAAATCTATGGAAGAAACTAAGCAACAGAGTTCACAAAACCATTGTGAATAGATCATTTCAAGGCCTTTCAAATGCACTTTAAGTCATAAATTGGCCTCTGGAAAATGTCAGGGATATATGTGTAAGATCTGGCACACTGGTCAAGTTGGGAGGTCCTGTTAGTGAGAGAGTATTTATTGTAATATTCCAATTGCACATTCAAATCTCAGAAGTTTTTAAGAGAAATGTTTCTCCCCACCACTTTCTTTAGATCTATGATGTAAAGTTTAGTTGCATGGTCAAGAACAATTAAACAAACATAGACCAATACATCTTATTTTCACAGAGGAAATGCAGAAACTTCACAATTTTTTCTAGGATTTGTTTCCAGGAACAAAATAATTTTTGTTTTATTTTTAGTGCCTTTGTTAGAGAATATAAATAGGAGGTTTTTTGAATACTGACACTGTTAATTAGTTTGTCTCCCATGACTGATTTAAGTTTGAAGTAACTCCTATCAGCAACAGTAGAAACAGTTACAGTACTGTAGCAGCACAGTTGCACAATTTTTCTTTAAAAAAGCCCTGGAATTTCCTTAAAAACTGTCTGGTAGAGAAGCTTAATTTAAAACAAGAAGAAACAACTTTTATTATTCTAGAAGTGAACTCACCTGTATTTCACATTTTGGAGAACTCTGATTTACTGCATTTAAAGCATCGTGAGCCTGCTGAAGTTGCTCTTGTAACTGACAAATCTTTTGATTTTTTCCAAGTAACTGATCCTGAAGAGAGGCACAACTTCTCTGCAGTTGAATCTCACTTGTTTTAACAGTTTCAAACCATGAAGTCAATTCGTCATAAAGCTATGACAGGGAAGAAGATAAACAGCAGGATTTAAAATAATTTCAATGCAGATATAAATACAGAAGGAGAGAAAGTATAATGTAAGTAGCCTCTCTTTTTTACATTTTAACAATTATTTCATAAAGTGTAAAATAGTTGTTTAAATAATTCTGTGGGATTTTTTTTTTGACGTTAACTATGAAACCCAGAAATTACATTAGAAGTACTTATCCGTAGCTGTTGCTCAACTGTTCTTTCTGAAAACAGAATATTGTACATATTCTTAAGTCATTTTAGAAGAGATTCCGTACACACAAAGAACTTTGAGAACTACATCTATGTAATAACTAGAAGTGCCACGTAACTGAAAAAAATAACTTAATCTGCAAGAATAAGAGAATTTAACAATGCCATCCCTCCATTTTTAAGCTACTTTTTCAATATAAAATTCTAAAAAATGTTTAAAACACAATCAGCTTACTAAAAAAAATATAAAAAAGTTTGATAAATAAATCTTCAGTTTAATAAACAGTATATATCCTGAAGGAAAGACATGACTCTACAGCTTTACTACCTAAGCATATATTCCTCTCCCTTTTGGTCCCTCAATCTTTGATTGTCCTTTTCTCCCAAAATAAACAATATTCTCTCTGACTATTCAATCTCCCATAAAATAATCTATAGAAGGCATGTATGTACTTCTGCAGCTGACAGTTTTCTTTGGAAAATCCATTACTGCCATTTCATCCAAAGTCTGAAAATCAGAATTTCCAAATCTGTCAATAATGTTTATAATTACAAGGAACTGACACAATTTTACTTGTAAAAACATTATTTTACTCTTGTCAGCTTTACTTACAACGATACACTTCTTTCTCCCTCTTGTCTGCTTACATCACTTAGAAGTTAACCTTTGAAAATCAATCACAACTCTTCGATTTGGAAACTGTCTACCTAACACTTTGTGAGAAATTTGGAAACAATAATATCCCTTCCTTTCCTTCATTCTATAATTTTCTCCTCCCATGTGCTCTCAAAATCTACTAAGGACAAAGTAAATTACTTCTTGCCTATTTCCGAAGCAGATCAAACATCATGTCTCCCAGACAAAACTGATTCAAAGTCCAGATAAATGGATATTTCTAATTACTCCAAATTTCAAAAAATAAACTTTTGCATGGAAATTTCTTTGCCTACTGAATCTTTCTTAAACATCTAAGAAACCTTACAGATCTCTAGAACTGCAAGTTCAAGATTAGCCAGTTTCTCATGGAAATCGGAAAGTATCTCACAGGAAAATAAAGCGGTCCATTTATCAAAACCATGCATTATTAGATTACATCCTTCCAAACAAATGGAACAACAAGACACAGTTATTTCCATGTATAACTACATAAGATCATTAGCTAGATCATACTGGTATGACAATTTGCTGGTATTATGACTAGCAGCACTTAAGTAGTTGTAATTATAGTATCTGAAAGGTAACATCCTAGTAAGATGAATGGAGAACATCAAAAATATGATGCTTTTTTGTAGCTGGCAGCCACATCTCCTAATGTAGCTAATGGGTATTTTTGGTAGTCAGCATTTGTCAGGACAAGACAAATAGCATGTCTTTTTACTTGCGTAAACTTTTCCAACCTCTCCTGCTTTGAAAACAGCAACAACAGAACACATCTATTTCAAGTATAAAAGTAGCTAAAAGCTATGTGCATAAAACCACATTCGCGCCGTTCATCTTCTTACACTGAGGCTTATGTATTTCTTCAAAAACCACCAAGGTCCTAGTTTATAGGACTCAGATTATTTTTTTAAGGTATGTAACATCATGAAATTTCAAAACTAAAATTAACTGTCTGAAAAGAGTTTTATCTACTGTCCACAGATAACTAGAACACCTTCCAAACTTCCATTTCGCTCCCTATCATTTCTTTTAGAGCCATGCATGTCCACCAATTTTGTGGATTAAACACATGCTTAATATTTATACTGGATTATTTCGGGATTTCCTGTCCATTTCTGACCCTTTTTTAAAAGACAAACCACATTTAATCACACTGCAGTAAACACATTCCAGAACACACAGAATTCCACAACACAGTGAAATAGGTCTACCATTAATAAAGATACACAAAATCAGGTGACATAAAACGGAGATCAGAGGATTAGAGATGGAACATTGTGTAGAAAATACAGAAGAAAACCAAAAATATTGTAAATTATTTACGTCAGAACTAGCAAGCTTCACAGAAAAGAGGAGTGAAATCTTGACTGTACATAAGTATATAAATACCTTCCATGAATGTCAAAAAGACATGAGATTTAACAAGGAAATTTTTTAATCCCCAAGAAGAGATATAAAAAAAATATTTATGTTTAAAATATAGAAAAAAAAAAAAGAAAATATTTAATGTCATTCTTTATACATTTTATGAAATTTGGTAGTTGGACAAAAAAAAGGCATACAGCCAGTGACACAGGACTGTGTTCTACAAAAACTGCTGCACTGATTGTATTTTGAGAATCTCTTTCTAATGCCTTAGAGCTCTCATTTCTCTGACAGTCAACACAGATTATCACAGGTGAAGGTACTTAAAAAAAAAAGATTAAAACTATCTGAAATCAGTACACTGTAATAAATTCAGTCTACATAACAGACGAGCTTTATTTATCAGTCAAGGGAAGAGTAAGGTAGCTGAATTACAAAAAATAAAGTATTCCACTTTTCTCAGCTACACTAACAATTTCATATATTGACTTAACTGATTTTACCAGAAAACACTTTTTGCTAGATCTTTGAGGAGTCAGAACAGAAAACTTCATTAGAACAAAAGGTGTGCTTAATATCATCAATTAATCTAAAAATGCCAGATCAAAGCTAGAACTTCCAGAAGAACCAAAAGTTGTGCCTACAAAGCCTGCTCCAACATGATAGAAAATATTTAACAGCCTGATAATGATGGGGTGAGGTAAAGTACTAACATATATTAAATACGTGTAATAGCAAAACAAAGTTAGGTCTGACCAAGGAAAGCTGAATTCCAACAAAAACCTAGTAAAACTAAAACTAATCCACATTATCTACTGTACTGTATATTAGCCAGAATCAGAGTGCACCTCGAAAAAAACTGCAGCGTGAAGCAGTTGACACAAATGACCACAGCATTCTTCTGGCAAAACTGACTGCTCGAGGCTTGGACAATCACACATTTCACTGGGTAAAAAACTGTCTGGATGGCTGACCCAAAGAGTTGTGGTGAATGGAGTTAAATCCTGTTGGTGTCCGGTCACGAGTGGTGTCCCCCAGGGCTCAGTTTTGGGGCCACTCCTGTTTAACATCTTTATTGATGATCTAGACGAGGGGATCGAGTGCACCCTCAGTCAGTTTGCAGGTGACCCCAAGTTGGGTGGGAGTGTTGATCAGCTCGAGGGTAGGGAGGCTCTGCAGAGAGACCTGGACAGGCTGGAGCCATGGGCTGAGCCCAACTGGAGGAGTTTCCATTAGGGCAAATGCCGGGGGCTGCCCTTGGCCACAACAACCCCCAGCAGCGCTACAGGCTTGGGGAGGAGTGGCTGGAGAGCTGCCAGTCAGAGAGGGACCTGGGGGGGTTGATTGACAGCCTGAGGAACAGGAGCCAGCAGTGTGCCCAGGGGGCCAAGAAGGCCAATGGCATCCTGGCTTGTGTCAGCAATAGCGTGGCCAGCAGGGACAGGGAAGGGATCTGACCCCTGTACTGGCACTGGGGAGGCCGCATCTCGATTCCTGTGTTCAGTTTTGGGCCCCTCACTACAAAAAGGACATTGAATGACTCGAGCGTGTCCAGAGAAGGGCAACGGAGCTGGTGCAGGGTCTGGAGCACAGGTCGTAGGAGAAGCGGCTGAGGGAACTGGGGATGTTTAGTCTGGAGAAGAGGAGGCTGAGGGGAGACCTCATCGCCCTCTACAGCTCCCTGAAAGGAGGGTGCAGAGAGCTGAGGATGAGTCTAATGAAATAACAAGCAATAGGACAAGAGGTAATGGCCTCAAGTTGTGCCAGGGAAAGTTTAGACTAGATGTCAGGAAGTATTTCTTTCCAGCAGGGGTTGTTGGGCGTTGGAATGGGCTGCCCAGGGTAGTGGTGGAGTCCCCATCCCTGAAGGTGTTTAAGAGTCGGGTCGATTTACTGCTTAAGGATATGGTGTAGTTGGGAACTGTCAGTGTTAGGTTAAGGTTTGGACTGGATGATCTTCAAGGTGCTTTCCAACCCAGATAACTCTGTGATTCTGCGATATAACATTATACAAGTGTGTAAGATTTCTTTTAAACCAGGTTTGTACTGCTCTTGTGAAATGAATGCCAATCAACAGTTGGGACACATTTTCCAGTTCCAAATAGTTTCCAGATCCATAATCCAAAAGAGATTTGCTTAATGCTCTCATAGACTTTTCTGTATCAACTAGATCACAGAAAGTGGGAACATCTGGAAGATTTCCTGCAAAAGGATATTCCTGTGATGACTTAAGGTAGATCCAGCAATTAAAATGCAACAGTAGCCAATTATATACACTGGGTGTAAAACAAACATTCTCCTACATTAAATCTTTTATCTAAATGCTCATACCCTAAAAACCAGTGTATTACAGAGCCCTGAGTAAATGAACCTGAACTTACAGGAATATTGAATATATAGTAACAATACAAATGAAAAAAATTCTAAATGAAGACACAATAAAACAATAAGAAAAACTATTACAGCACACAGCAGAAATTCCATGTTACAAGATCCTGCTCTTTACAAGAATTTGAAAGAACAAGGCCAGAAGTCAGCTGGAAAACCTCTAGGATGAAACTGAAGAGGCACTCCAAACAAAATATATACAGCACATTCAGGGCATTTAGTTTTAAAATGGAAAAGCAGAGGTAATTTTTCAAGATGAGGGACCATGAAGTGTACCTATGATACAAGAGAAAAACGTCAGACACAACTGAGAGGTTCAGAAGAAAAAACAAAGTGCAGAGTGGATGTAACATCAGACAA